ACACAATAAACCCTGAGTTTATTTTCAGTAGAGATACTTGCTACATTCACGTCAGATTTTTGCAATTACATGATTCCAAATTTTAAAATCCACTCGCATTTTTATATATATATATATATATATATATATGAACATGTAGAGGTGAATATAGATTGGAAAATATTTTGCTCTTACCAACAAAGCTGCGCATGGATCTGTTTTGATGTTGGGTTGCCATAGTGACAAGTTTTGAGTCTGAGAATATCAACATTCGACACAATGTGAACGTAGAATTGTATTAGAATTTAGTACTTTAGAATTTGTTGTGCTTTTGTCATTTATAAGTTTTTTTTATATATATTTCCATTTTGGTTTTGTAATTTTTGTTCTTCAACTTTTTGAACAGATTTTAAATGTTGCTTTAGCAATTTAAATTAATCAAGTGTATGTTTTTGAAGTTTTAAGTTTTTCATCTAATATTTAAATTTTATTTTATTTCAACTTTATTTCAATTAATGAAAACTATTTTACATAGTTTTAGTTAACAATAAAAACTTTTAATTTATTAACTCAAAATACTGAGCATTTATGAAGATACAAAACTTCATGAGGTAAGCTGTCATACAACAAGCCAAAAATTAATATTCAAGTGAACAAACAAGAAATCAAAAAATCTGTCTTATGACGACTTCCTCCCCTGCTGCCAACTTCCTGTACAGTTCTTTCAGCTCTTCTGGTTGTGGGACTTTGGAACCTGGTGTTGGTGGAAGCTCAAAATCCGATGATACCTGCGAGTCTGATTTCGGCTCCACGGCTTCTTCCTCCTTAGGTTCGACGTTATGGCTGCTCACCACCTCACCATTGGTCCCTCGGTTACACTGCTCACTAGTAATGGTCTTACTTTCATCCACTTGGATGAGAACAGTGTCTATTTGACTGAGGCTCTCTGTCCCTGCATCCGATATATGAGTGGACTGCGAGGAAGTCAAGTGAACGGAGCTGCTGTCATCCTCATCTTCATCCTGAAACCGCTCGGGTGACTGGGATGCTGTGTTTTCGGTGGAGAGCGTTTGAGTGTTGTGGCTGTTCAGACTGTTAGCCAGTTCGCTCTCATCGGTCAACACTGGTTCCACCTTGAAGAACCTTTCCCAACAAGGCAGAGCTGTTTTGGATTGGGATGAGTCCGACTGAGTCAGTTTTGATCATGGCATTTCTGTGCAAGGTGGTGCGACACCGAATGGTTGAGGTATAGGAGGTTGCTCGGCATCATCATCATCATCGTCATCATTTGATTCTGTGCAGTCCATGTAATTAGATGAGTGTGTGGCGGGACAGGGCTCTATAAGGGAAAATGTTTGGTCCGTATCATGGGAATCTTTTTTAGGGCTATGAGGCTGTTCACTAATGGCAACCTTGGTCAGATCAGTCACTGTCATTTTACGCCGCCTTGGAGCCATGGAAACCTCATCAAACAGGTCATTATCACTGTCTGAGCCTTAGTAGAAAAGTATATAGGTTTATAAGAGAGAATAACAATTTAATAAATAGTTTTAATAATGAAAACTACTCATACCTTCCGATGTGCACCTCTTTCTGGTTCTTTTGAGGGCCCCAAGCGGTTTGTAGACAATCTCCTCCCTTCCAGACTGTTTTCTACACAAGGGCTTTAACCTGAATTTGAAAATATCATTTTATAGTAAGCAACTAAAGTCTTATGACAACATGGTACAAAAAAAAAAAAGGTTTGTCCTTACAGCTCTGCGACGTCCTCCAGTGTCTTGCCCAACGGAATGACATTAGGATAGATGTTAACAGGACAGATGTAGGAGAGAAAGTCCTTAACCTAGTCACAGGAAATAGACTAGGTCTTATGATAGGCTAACATTGTGTATGGTGTGTCATATGAAGAATATCCTTCTCGGTGGGATTTCTCTCACCTCCAAATAAGAGGAATGAAAAGAAAAGCATGCTCTGTAGGAACTACTTCCCATCCTAAAAAGAAAGACGTGATGAATAATTTATTATTAATAATATATATATATATAAAATAGGTAATTGCATGCAAATTTATTCTATTTTTACATTTACATTTCCTGTGCTATCATCTAACTTTTTAAGTTGATCTTTTAAAAACACTAATAGTTGGGTTACTGTTAAATATAATCTTTAAAAGTTTGAAAATGAGTTTCCATTTTTAATACTTATTAAAATGAGTGATTTTTTTTGTGTCTTATTTCAATAAATAGATGCATAAATATTGATAGAATTTTAATATTGACCATAACATTTTAATATTGATGCATCGTGACTCACTTGACAATGACAGAGGTCTTTCTGGTCCGTTCTCCAAACCAGATAGTTGAGGGTTTGATGTTGATGATGTTTAGAGGAATGCCATCCGGAGTCATGGAGCCACACGGTAACCTGTTTGCCCTGAAGAACTCCTCGTCCTGTGAAAAAGCCACCATTGTGACCACCGTCCGGGACATATATGATGGTGTCATTATGCAAAGGTTGAGTGTACCTTGGGGTGCCTACAAGCGTGGATCTGCGTTGCACGGTCGGTGGTCATGTGACAGAATTTCAGGCATTTTTTTGAACATATCCAAGCTGTTCACATGTATCTATAATGGAGAAATAGTGTTAATGTTTTAAAACAAGCAACAAAGAAACTAGAGGAACAACCTCTGACCTGTGAGCTGAACTCTTGTCCCAGATTGGTGAATACTCGTAACCATAAGCTGCCTTACAGTTTAACCAAACAACATGGTACGGACTCTGACAGATCCAGTCCTGGACCAGCTGACTTATCCCTGTCACACAAGCCTCCTAAAACAGAAGAAAAGAACACCGTTATGAACAGAACCGACAAGCTCAAGTCTGTATGATTTAATGCAGGTGAGTAAATGCTTACCCTGCTAGGGATCTGATGATACTTGGGATCAAAGAATGTGGTGTCGATATACACACTGAATATCTTTTACCCTGCAGCACAAACATATGAATGCTATTATTATATACAAAATGTGCTGTACTTATTTAAATATCTGATATCTGAATACCTGTCTCCAGAGTGCAAGTACTCCATTCTAGCTGCGTCTCCGACAGCCAGTCTGAAGTCCCTTGTGTACAGCACTGTACCCTGAGCACCCTCAAACAGAAACCTGTTTAGAGTCAATATTAAATCAAAATTGACTCTGTATACGTTCTTAATGCATGCTCCTGCTCTTATTTTGCAGAGGTTGCTTACATGACTGATCCTGGACAGTGTCCGCTGGAAGCAGAGTAACAACAACATCCTCTGACTGAAGACAAAAATGTATACGACTTCAGATCAACTCCAAAAACGCTCAAAAGAATAAACTAGGAGCTAAAATCCCACCTCTCCAGTGATTTCATCTATCAGAGATATGCGAGTAGGACTGTCCAGTTCCAGTGGGACCTAGTATTTAATGCAAAGGTTCTAATATGAGGTTAACATAATTATTTATGGAAAAATTGTAGGGCTGAGAATAATACTTACAATGTGATCTTCCCAGAATGCATATTTTGGGTTACTAAGAAGGAGCTTCTTTGTGACAAATGAGCAGTACAGCTTGACTGTTAAACTAATGGAGACAGTGTTTTGTCAAATATGCAATTTATGTTATGTATATAAATTACAATTTTTAAAAACTGAAATTTTTGCTACAAATGAATTTAAGCATAAAAATGTTTTAATGATATATGAAAAAGGGTTACTTCATTTGAGATCTGTTAAAACACATTCTTAATTTTAAGTTTAAACTATAACAGCAAAATAAATCTAAATGCAAAACAGAATAGAGTAAAAGTAGAATACAATTTTGTACATAAACACATTTTATGGAAAAAAATACGGCATCAAATAGTATGCATTTATAAGCTCGTTTATGAAAAATAATAGTATATAAACATAATAAATTTAATTCTGAGACAAAAGTAATATTTAAAAAATAAAGCAGTTCATAAATAATACATGAAACTGGAAACAAAGCTTATGGTTTACATCAACTTTTAGTTAAACGTTTATAAACAAATTAAGAAAGGGATGTTTCATTTGTCACATGGGTTGGAATATGTACAAATATCACTCACCTGAACTTCAGTTTTCTCTTCAGTAAAGGTCCTTTCAACCCTTTCATATGATCTATTGAACATAAACACAAAAGATATATAAAACAAAACAAACAATACAGAAAGTTCCTAAGCGGGATTCGATCCAGTGTGCATTATATATATATATATATAAGTAGAGGTCGACCGATAGTGGATTTTGCCGATACCGATAGCTAGGTTGGACCACACTGGCCGATACCGAGTGATTAACCGATAGTTTTAAAATTGATACTCAACAAAAACTAAAATAGTGCTTTATTAAATTTAGTTTATTAAATTTATTATTTAGTACTGAACCATACTAGTAGTAATAATAATAATAATAATAAAGGATATATATATGCACCTTTATGGCAGTGAGATAGGAAATAAGCTCTGGCGTGCAAATTGTCTCTGTCAACTCGGTCCAAGGAGATGGTGGGATACTCCTTCATGCGGCCAGCAAACGAGCTCATGCTGATTGCACTGAGTTTGAGCCGATGAAACACTCAAAACCCCCCTGAGAGCTGAGCACATCCCTGCCCGAGCTCTTCCGCAGCACCCCTGCATCTGTCTTTCCTCCTCCTGGCATCGCTTTGGTATGAAATCACGTGAGTCGGAAATAAACATCTGTAATTTGATAGCCTGAATCGTACAGCGACATCTATTGGACTCCAAAGCAATCATTATAAAATTGCAAAAAGGCACAATAATCGGTATACTCTAAAATAGTACACTGAGACAAAACAAATGCGAGCAAAGTTTCGCGAATAATTATGCATATCGAGGAACTGTTCGGTCCGTTTCTTCTAGGCAGGTTTCCGGGTGTAGCGTTGATTGGCCAACCAAACTGGAATTCCGGGTTGGTTTTCGATTGGCCATGTTTTCCTCACGCTATGCGCTATGTTGCTAGGAAACACATGATGCGCAGGATTGTTTTGCTAAAGGAGCACGTTGACAATTCAGCCTTGTGTCACACACGTCAATGTAGGTTTGTATTAAAAATATTATTAATAATACATATATACAAATTGTCATTTAATATCAGAGTGTGAGGCATGTTCTGAGTGATTAGACTAGATGCTTAGCTGTCAAAGTTTGTAAATCCAGAATATCCTGGATTAGGTGAGCAATGTTTTTTTCGTGCGTAACATTTTTGCATTATGTGATAAGTTGATTTGACTTGACTTTGTACTAGAACAGAATTTGTAGTGAAACTGTATTTATTCCAGAGGAGAATACTGTGGTGTATTTGTTATCATACACAGAAATCATGTCCTGTGCCGTTTTACTGGATAACAACGCTAAACCAAAATCCATGAGCCGAGCAAAGCAGTGGACAGGAGAGATTGAGGACCTGTACAGATTTCAGCAAGCTGGATACAGAGATGAGCTGGAGTACCGACAAATCAAACAAGTCGAGGTATCCACTTTTGATCATTTTTGTTTTAGTAATACAATATTATTCACTATTACATTATATAATGGCAAGGGGAAGTCGTGGCCTAATGGTTAGAGAGTCGGACTCGTAACCCAAAGGTTGCGGGTTCGAGTCTCGTACCGGCAGGGATTGTAGGTGGGGGGAGTGAATGTACAGTGCTCTCTCCCACCTTCAATACCACGACTGAGGTGCCCTTGAGCAAGGCACCGAACCCCCAACTGCTCCCCGGGCGCCGCAGCATAAATGGCTGCCCACTGCTCCGGGTGTGTGTTCATGGTGTGTGTGTTCACTGCTGTGTGTGTGCACTTTGGATGGGTTAAATGCAGAGCACTAATTCCAAGTATGGGTCACCATACCTGGCCACATGTCACGTCACTCACTTCACTTTTTTTTTTCACTTTATAATGCTTAAACAATCCTTATACATACAAATTCAGAAATGGTGTGCATGGTGTATGTTTTCTAATATACAGTACATTTTCTCTCTGTATATATATTGAATATTTGGATTTCATGTTATTAATATATTAAAAGCTCATCTACTAAGCTTTATGGAATATTTGTTTTTATTAGTGAAAGTGTTCCTGCTTTGTCAGTTAGCTAATGTCTTATAAATACTTTAATATACAGTGCTGTTCAAAAGTCTGGGATCAGTAAGATTTTACAGTTTTTTTTTTTTTAAAGAAGTCTCTTCTGCTCACCAAAGCTGCAATTATTTGGTCAAAATTACAGAAAAAAACAGTAATATTGTGAAATAATATTGCAATTTAAAATAATGTTTTTCTATTTTAATATATTTTAAAATACAATTTATTCCTGTGACGCAAAGCTGAGTTTTCAGCATCATTACTCCAGTCTTCAGTGTCACATGATCCTTCAGAAATCACTCTAATATGCTGATTTGTTATCAATGTTGGAAACAGTTTTTGCTGCTTAATATTTTTTATTTTGGAACCTGTGATACCTTTTTTGGGATTCTTTGATGAATAAAAAGTTAAAAAAGAACAGTATTTTATTCAAAATATAAATCTTTTCTTACAATATAAGTCTTTATTGTCACTTTTTATCAATGTAACACATCTTTGCTGATTAAAAGTATTAATTTCTTTCAAAAACAGAAAGAACAAATCTATTTTTTCTAATCTATAATCTAAATGTCTATTTTAAGTAAATGCTGTTCTTTTTATTCATCAAAGAATCTTGAAAAAATATCACGGGTTCCAACAAAAAAAAACAACAATTCTATCATTGATAATAAATCAGCATATTAGAATGATTTCTGAAGGATCATGTGACACTGAAGACTGGAGTAATGACTGATGAAAATTCAGCTTTGCATCACAGAAATAAATTATATTTTAAAGAATGTTAATATAGAAAACAGTCATTTTAAATTGCAATAATATTTCACTTTTTTCTGTATTTTTGATGAAATAAATGCAGCCTTGATGAGCATAAGAAACTTGAAAATTGTTACTGATCCCAAACTTTTGAACGGCAGTGTAGCTTACAGGTAACAGTCCTGTTTCCTGTTGAATATTGTCGTACTGTCCTTTCAGATTGACCGTTGGCCGGACACTGGGTTTGTGAAGAAGCTTCAGCGTCGAGATAACACATTCTACTACTACAACAGAAAACGAGAGTGTGAAGATCGAGAGGTCCATAAAGTGAAGGTGTATGCGTACTGACAGCTCCTTGACCCAGCCAACACTTTTCATTTTTTAGTTTTGAAATACTGTCTTTAAAAAAATGCATAATCACAGTGTATTCTTAATGTAAGCCTGGGTACAATTTCAGAATAAAAAAAAAAAGATCTTGATAAACATGTGAATGAACCATTTGATGTTTTATATTTATAAATGGCCAGCCTTTCATCTCTTTACTAAATTCTCCAAAACAAACCAGTTAAACATAGGTTGGTTTAGGTACACATTTATCCAATTTTAGTGGTTTGCTCCTTTTCCTTAGTTATGCAGCAAACTATAATAAATCAATGTATGTACATTGTTTGTAATTATGCAGACTACTTTTTTAACTTTGGGTTGAGACAAAGTTATCAAACACTGATGAGGTGTATAGGACAATAAAACAAAATAGCTTGTGAATATCAATATTAATAATCAAAATCCATGAAGAAAACTTCCCCTTTTATTGAGTATTATTGACTATTTTTGGTTCGATTTTGATGTGAACAACTACAACACATTTTGTGTCACTTTTTATTTACATTCAATGGTAATTATAAAGGAAACGTTGACAATTTGAGGTCTGTGCCAAAAAGAAAGATAAACATAAAACGAACCGCATGGCCTTTTAAGAGCACGTCACTTCCGGTTTCATGCAGCGAGTCGTCAAAACTGATCGTTTGAAGTCATGCGGATAATACTCTGATCGGAAAACACCCCCGTGTGATCAATAAATCCCTCTGTTTGTTATATACAGGTAAGTTCAATACGTTTAGTAGTTTCTTATACTCGAATTCCCTCCGTGCCGTTCAGACAGCTTGTTTTCATTTACATTAGCTTGTTAGCTTTTTCATGGCTTAATATTAATCTACAACAACAATCTGATTGTGGTCATATTTACATTTTTTTTTTTCAGCTGAAAGCATTAGGTTTCCGACATGTTCAGACTAAAACGATACAGTTTAGTGGATGATATTTATTGATCAGTATGTAAATGTATATATAAACAAAAATCAGTTCATGCACCTGCACCGATTACAGTCAAAACAATAAAGTCATTTACTAGACTGATAAAGTGTTCAGATGAACATGGTTATCTGAAAGTGATGTACGATTGTTTTGTTACCAGAAAGCACTTTTAAGTAGGCCACCTTTTTGAGAAGAAACTAGACTAGAACAATCGATACTAGATAATGAAAGCAATTGACATTAGACAGTAATGGTGCACTTGCTTTATTTGGTTACAGAGCTGAAATATAGTCTGGAGATCATCATTGGCTTCCATCTTCGTATAAGTTTTGGCATGAGCTGCGTCTAGAATTTTTGACACATCTATCCATTATCATAATGAAGAATTGCTTCAGATCCCAAGGTAATGTGATTTAGGTTGTGTGCATAAAATTAAATGTTTTAAAGGGGTCATGTGATGCCAAACGCATATTCGAAATTCAATTTTTTTTTGACAGCCCTAATCACAATATAGTTATTTTTTGTATTAAATAAGGTCTTTATGATCTCAACATTTTTGATACCATAGAAACATTTAATTCTTGTCACCAGTTTAAATATCACAAAAAAAACTAATACTAGCCTAAATTTAAAAAACAAAACTCAAGCTCACTGAAGACAAGTAAACAGTCAGCGATTAAATAAGAATAATAAACTTATTACGAGCAATAGGACAAAAAAAACTACAGTAGAACAAATAAATAAGAAATGCTACATACATTGTATAAAGTAATCA